CAACAGAGGAGAATCCATCTCAAAAAAAAAAAAAAAAAAAAAGAACAAAAGGAAGAGGAGGGAGGGAGATGAATCACGAGGTAAAGGAGTTCAAGACCCCAGCCCCTAGAACAAACATGGTGCAAACCCTGTCTCAATAACTAAAAAAAAAATAGCCCAAAACCATCAGCCAGCATGGGGTCCACATGCCTAATAATCCCAGCAACTTGGGAGGCTGAGGGCAGAAAGAACCCAAAACACTTGAACCTGGGAACCCAGGATGGTCTCGATCTCCTGACCTCGTGATCCACCCGTCTCGGCCTCCCAAAGTGCTGGGATTACAGGCTTGAGCCACCGCGCCCGGCCCCAATCTGTATCTTAACAGATTAGTTAAGGAGACAGGGTTTCACCATGTTGGTCAGACTGGTCTTGAACTCCTTACCTCGTGATCCGCCCGCCTCGGCCTCCCAGAGTGCTGAGATTACAGTCATGAGCCATTGTGCCCAGCCTCTCCTCTCCTCTTAACAGATTAGTTAAGGAGAGGGGAGGGAAAGGGAAAGGGAAAGAAAAGAAAATAGAGACAGGGTCTTGCTATGTTGCTCAGGTTGGCCTCAAACTCCTAGGCTCAAGTAATCTTGCCTCGGCCTCCCAAAGTGCTGGGATTACAGGTGTGAGCTACCACACCTGGCCAATTTCTTTATTCCTTAAGAGTAAAAAGAGTATCAGGGAGTATCAGTGAAAGGCAGTTGTAGGAATAAACCGTGGCCATGAATGCAAAAGGGAAACAAATTTAATGTCACTTTCACCATGCACAATTTATAGTTGCTAGTAGTAATCCAAACTTTCAAATTGCCTTTAATGTGTTGAACATTTCACTTACAAAGTTCAAGTAATATTATTACTACTTTTCTTAAAAGGTTAAAAATAATAAGGTGAGTATTCTCTTTTTTTCTTTTTTGGCAGTCACTGATTATAGCAAGGGTGGTTATTTCCATCTTTCCTCTTAAGAAAAGGAAGCCTAGATACAAAATTACAGGCCCAGTTATCACCCTAGCCAATTTTGCAGTGCCAATGCATCTTCTGTATTGACATTTGGGAATTCTGGGATCTGAATGGGGTAAAAACTAGGCCTTCGGTACTGAGCCCATGTAGGACCCTACCCTTACCCTGGCTTGATTTCAGACTGGTGCCTCACAGCGCTGTATCGGATGGCAATGGTGCACGCCTTAGACAGAGCCCGAGCAGCTTCTCCCACAAGGAAGGACCTGACAAACACCATGGTCCCGTAAGTCAGCTTGTTACTCAGTGGTTTCACGTACGTGCCATCAGGCTTCACCTGGAAGAAGAACGTGGGACTGATGCTTCCTTTTTTTAAGTCCAAGAGGCAGTTCAGTGGTTCTCAAAGTACAGTCCCTGGAATAGCAGCATCAGCATCACCTGGCAACTTGCATGAACTACTACATCTTAGTCCCCACCCTGACCAACTGAATCAGAAACTCCGGGGTGGGGCCTAGCAATCTGGGCTTTAACTGGCCTTCCAGGTGATTCTAATGCATGCAAGTTTGAGAATCATTGGTTTAGCAAATCAAAATATATCCTTCAACCCTGCTAACTGCTTCTGATTTCACTGCCACAGTAAAAGCATCAGAGTGGGCATGATGACCACGCCTGTAATTCCAGCACTTTGGGAGGCCAAAGCGGACAGATCAAGAGGTCAGGAGTTTGAGACCAGGCTGAACAACATGGTGAAACCCAGTCTCTACTAAAAATACAAAAATCAGCTGAGTGTGGTGGCGCGTGCCTGTAATCCCAGCTACTCAGGAGGCTGAGACAGGAGAATCGTTTGAAGCCGGGAGGCGGAGGTTGCAGTGAGCTGAGATTGTGCCACTGCACTCCAGCCTGGGTGACAGAGTGAGACTCCATCTCAAAAAAAATAAAAAAAATAAAAAAAAATAAAAAAAAAAATGCCCGGCACAGTGGCTCACACCTGTAATCCTAGCACTTTGGGAGGCCGAGGCAGGAGGGTCCCCTGAGGTCAGGAGTTCAAGACCAGCCTGGCCAACAGGGTGAAACTCCACCTCTACTAAAAATACAAAACAATTAGCTGGGTGTGGTGCCACATGCCTGTAATCCCAGCTACTCGGGAGGCTGAGGCAGGAGAATCGCTTGAACCCAGGAGGCGGAGGTTGCAGTGAGCCAAGATCACACCACTGCATGGGTGACAAAGCAAGACTCTCTCTCAAAAAAAAAAAAAATAAAAGCATCAGAAGGAAAAATGCATTATTATCTCCTTTTTTTTTTTGAGACAAGAGTCTCGCTGTGTTGCCAGGCTGGAGGGCAGTGGTGCGATCTTGACTTACTGCAACTTCTGCCTTCCAGGTTCAAGCGATTCTCCTGCCTCAGCCTCCTGAGTAGCTGAGATTACAGGTACGTGCCATCACACCCCGCTAATCTTTGTATTTTTAGTAGAGACAGGGTTTCACCATATTGGTCAGGCTGGTCTTGAATTCCTGACCTCAGGATCCGCCTTCCTCAGCCTCCCAAAGTGCTGGGACTACAGGCATGAGCCACCGCGCCCGGCCTTATTACCTCCTTTTATAAGACAGAGTCTCACTCTTTCACCAAGCTGGAGTGCAGTGGCACGATCTCTGCTCACTGCAACCTCTGCCTCCCGGATTCAAGAGATTCTCCTGCCTCAGCCTCCTGAGTAGCTGGGACTACAGGCGCATGCCACCATGCCCAGCTAATTTTTTTGTATTTTTAGTAGAGACAGGGTTTCACCATGTTGGTTGGCCAGGACGGTCTCCATCTCTTGACCTCATGATCTTCCTGCCTCAGCCTCCCAAAGTTCTGGAATTACAGGTGTGAGCCACCACACCCAGCCTTTTTTTTTTTTTTTTTTTTGAGGCAAGGTCTCACTGTCATCCAGGCGGGAGTACAGTGTGGCATAATCACAGCTCACTGAAGCCTTGACCTCCCAGGCTCAAGTGATCCTCCCACCCCAGTCTCCCAAGTAGCTGGGACTACACATGTGTGCTACTATGCCCAGCTAGATTTTTTAAATTTTTGTAGAGATGGGTTCACACTATGTTGCCCAGGCTGGTCTTGAACTCCTGGGCTCAAGTCATCCATGCACTCAGCCTCCCAAAGTGCTGGGATAACAGGAATATGTCAGTGTGCCAGCTGTTATTACCTTCTAAAAGAACAGACCATACTAACCCTATTGTGAGCAACAGCCACTGCAACCCCACTGTTTGATGCCTCTGCTTCTATTTTCTATCAAAACATACCTGGGCATACTTCATCAGCATGTTTTCTCTGGGAATACGATAGTTGTCCATTTTGAGGTAGCCATTGTCTATCTCATCATAACCAAATTTGGGGCCAATGTCGCCAACAGTAATTCCTACCACAGATGAAAGGACAGTCATGAGATGTTTATGCTCTGGAATTTCTGGCTTTTGCTCCACCTCTTCAGTTGGGCATTCTACCTTTTAAGAAAGTGCTCAGTTTCATTTTCATCTCAACATCAGATGAACAGTTCTTACCTGGCAAAGGCTTATGGGTCCCAATTTCACGAATGGGTACAATAAAGGCATGTAATCCATAGCATTTCCCCTTAGTGATGAGCTGGGCAAGAACTATTGCATGATTTGAAGTCTTTCCAACTGTAATATAAAAGGGAACAAGAGAGGGGTGAGTAAACGTTCGTACATTTTTAAAGGGTAGAAAAAAGAAGAAAGAATATGTTAAATCTAACACTAGACTAAACCAATAGTATGTGTCCAGAAAGCCTTTCTGCTGACAGTATCACACTTAGCTTTCAGAAAGAAATTCCCTTAAGCTAATAGTTATTACTTTCTCTTCTGCTTATTTCTCATGCATTTACATAGAGAAAATTTTAGGATAAAAATAAGAATATTAATTTAAACTACTTCCTTGTTATCCCTTAAGGCAGTGCTGTCCAAAACAGTAATCACTAGCTACATGTGCCTTCTTACATATAAATTATAATTAAATAAAATATACAATGTGAATAACAAAATCCTTTAACCACTAACTGTATCAGAAATATATATTCCAAGA